TTCGATTGGACGGCTATTTTCGTGCCAAGTCGGACTCAAAACGAAGCTATGGTAGCAAATGAGACCATGGTAGCTATGGAAATTAAATGGAGATATTATACAATGGATTCTCGAGAATGGTACGACTACAGCTGCCAACGCATGCACATTTAGGATTTCATCGTGGTAGGTTCTTTCATCTGTGTTTTATCGATGAACCTTCAGCTAGTTAATTATTCTAATCTGATACATGTTAGAGGGACCAAGATCTTAATTTACATACATTGCCATTGCGGGCACTGCCGGTATGCGTTTTACAGCGGATTTATTAAGCATCACTGCACCGTGCCTGCCTGGGTTTCTATGTAGGTAAGGGGCGGTCGGGTAGCCTTGTGGTTAAAGCGTTCGCCCGTCACGCCGAAGACCCGGGTTCGATTCCCGACATGGGTACAATGTGTGAAGCCTATTTCTTGTGTCCCCCGCCGTGATCTTGCTGGAATATTGCTAAAAGCGGCGTAAAACCAAACTCACTCACTCACTCACTCTATGTAGGTAACGGAGTTAGCCGAGATTACCCGAATGTACAGATGTTCTACTTAAAATTCAATATTACTATACTATAGTTAATCTGTCATGGCTGGTGGGGTCTGTAACACACAGCCTTCCAATTGTGGGTTGTTTTTAACTTGTTTGGGGTAGTATATATGAACCATATCGGAAAGTCGTATAACTGACATTTTTCTCTAATACGAGCCGGGGGGCACGGGTGGCCCAGTCGTCCAAGGCGCCGCGATTCGCTGTGCAGAGTTGCGTCCCTTGGTCACGCCAGAAACCTGTGATTGTGGGTTCGAATCCCGGTTCGCCCCGATTATGTTTCTAGGTTTGTCAGCACCATACCCGTGCTCGTAGGTTTCACCGAAGTGGTAAACGTCTGAGACCTGCATCACTTCGGGCTTTCCTCCCACATTAAGATATAACTTGAATACTGTTAAAAGCGGCGTCAAGATTATTGCACCGTAATAGCGGTGTGTGTGTGTGTGTGTCCGGTGTGTGCTTATACAAGCTAGTCGGGACTATATTCGTTTGTATAGTGCTACTATCTCGCTGAGATACCATGCTGCAGTTTAACATGGATACAGCCGACCAGTCCTTGATTTATCATCTTAGAACCAGGCAGGGTGGCTTCAAGTACCTATTAACGTTTTTTGGCATGACGCGAACAGGGATCGATCCACCGACCGTCCGTTTTCCGACCAGGCGCTCTACCACAAGACCACAGATGAATTATGAGGACAAAATGTATTCCTGTGCATGCATACAAGTACGTACCTAAAAGAAAAGTATTTCTGAACCACAACAAAAGACGTTAACCTTCAATGACAGAACGTCGGAACGGTGATCTATTCACAGCACGCGGGGCGCATTCAGACACCCACCCTCCTTACGCGGATACCGGCAGACAAAGAAACTCCTCTGGTCGACGTGCCCATTGTTGACAGATTAAAGTCAGAAAGGAAACGTTTATGAACAACAATGGCCACCCGTTGCCCTTTTCACCCTGTGAGTGAGTATGGTGTTACGCCGCTTTTAGCAATATTCCAGCAATATCACGGCGGGGGACACCACAAATGGGCTTTACACATTGTACCCATGTCGGGAATCGAACCCGGGTCTTCGGCGTGACGAGCGAACGCTTTAACCACTAGGCTACCCGACCGCCCCTATTCTGATAGAAGTGGAAACTGATCACATCTTGACTCATTCGTGACCAACTCGTGTTATTCTGGGCCAAGCCGAATAGCAACCATCTTCCCGAGGCAAGGAGTTAACTGACTTTAAAAGTCCAGTTTCAACCCTTGCCGAACTAGGCTTGAATGCCTGGGCTCGATTATATAAACTGATAGCTTTCCACCTCGGCATTTATTCCAAATTTTAAAATTTCAAAAAATCGATATAAGCAACCCCTAAAAGCCCCCTCTTGTGTTGCACACACCACTTTCACCCTTCTCGGATACACTAAATGGTCTGGCCAGGCCCGTGTGCGAAATACGCTGCAGTCGGAAAGCGCACGTTAATTCTTCTATATCAGTCAGTCAGTCAGTCTTACTATTGCCCGCCATGATAGCATATGCAAGTGATCTGACACTTGGACACAATCTCGTAATTTTTTTATGTTTAATGTTTGTTTTACAGACAAGATTACATGTACAGGTAAGATTAACACAATGCAAATTAAACAAGGTTGATCCGTCACCGCTGATTGTATTGATTCGCCACTGATTGCGTACAGCCAATTGTCAGTGACACTTGACACTGAGTGAGATTTCTCAGTTCGCTATACACGTCACTAATTAGTGATAGATGGGCTTGTCGGTGATCAGATATCAGTTCGCTGTATCCGTTAGTTCGCTGAAGAGAGTTCGTTATATACGTAAATTTTATATGATATTATATTGGAGATAAATCGGGGATTTTTTAACAGTTCGTTGTATCCGTTTGTTCGCTATATCCGTGTTCGTTATATCCGTGTTCTACTGTAATATAGACTCCGTGATCAATCTGAATATCTTACATGGTACAAAGTGGGTCTCGACATACGTCACGTTACGGTCGTATTATGATCGCGAGCACCATTCATAATACGAGAATTTTCATAACCACATCTTCAGGACGTAAGAAAGTAGCGCTTCGCAAGTGTACAACTTGATATCTGGTTCCATTGTTGTCTGGTGTTAACCTGACGCCGAGTGAACAAATGTGGTACATGTATCTCCTATTGAAAGCTGACTTTATGATTTGCAAATGAACCCAGCACGCCAGTACTTATAAAAGACGCCCTTTTGTATTCTTGCGCGTCAGTGCTCACAATAGAATCCACACTGTAATACATAGGTAGAAACCTTAGAAGCCGAGTTTTTGAAGATCTTGGTAACATTCTATTGTGCGCTTCGTGCGTTCACTTCTGGAATTTCTTTTTAAAAATTCAAAAAGCAATCACGCGAAAAGGTTCAAAATGGCATGCGAGTTTATAATATGTTCACGGTAAAAAGCAACGTGAAAGTGAGGTTATCTGCATGCTGTTAAACATAGGAACATGGTGATTTTTAGATAATTGAAATTAATTATTAGAAGTTTAATGCAAATAAAATCAATATGTGTTACGTTGTGTTCCTCCTATGATACCACATGAAGTTGACACTTGACTGGACCGCCTCCATGGTCTAGTGGTAGAGCGTCCCCTCGGAGAGCGGAAGGTCCGGGGTTCGATCCCCGGCCGCATTATACTAAAATACGTTAAAAGATGGTTGTTACAACAAGGAGTGGTCGGTGGCACGGGTGGCCCAGTCCGTCTAAGACGCCGCGATTCGCTATGCGGAGTTGCGTCCCTTGGTCACGCCAGAAACCTGTGATTGTGGGTTCGAATCTCGGTTGCGCCCCAATTATGTTTCTAGGTTTGTCAGCACCATACCCGTGCTCGTAGGTTTCACCGAAGTGGTAAACGTCTGAGACCTGCATCACTTCGGGCTTTCCTCCCACATTAAGATATAACTTGAATACTGTTAAAAGCGGCGTCAAGATTATTGCACCGTAATAGCGGTGTGTGTGTGTGTGTGTGTGTGTGTGTGTGTGTGTGTGTGTGTGTGTGTGTGTGTGTGCTTATACAAGCTAGTCGGGACTATATTCGCTTGTATTGTGCTACTATCTCGCTGAGATACCATGCTGCAGTTTAACATGGATACAGCCGACCAGTCCTTGATTTATCACCTTAGAACCAGGCAGGGTGGCTTCAAGTACCACCTATTAACGTTTTTTGGCATGACGCGAACAGGGATCGATCCACCGACCGTCCGTTTTCCGACCAGGCGCTCTACCACAAGACCACAGATGAATTATGAGGACAAAATGTATTCCTGTGCATGCATACAAGTACGTACCTAAAAGAAAAGTATTTCTGAACCACAGCAAAAGACGTTAACCTTCAATGACAGAACGTCGGAACGGTGATCTATTCACAGCACGCGGGGCGCATTCAGACACCCTCCCTCCTTACGCGGATACCGACAGACAAAGAAACTCCTCTGGTCGACGTGCCCATTGTTGACAGATTAAAGTCAGAAAGGAAACGTTTATGAACAACAATGGCCACCCGTTGCCCTTTTCACCCTCCGTTAACAAGAAGGAGGTAGCAACCCCGGGCGTGCCAATACCCTTTTGGTACGCCTGAACCAAGGCTTCTTGGTATTCCGGATGCCGGAGTGCAATGCACTGGTTGATATTAATGTTTATCTGATACGCGGATGCCAATATTTCAATATTGAATATGTTCGCCTGTTTTTGTTTGCACGGAGTGGACCGCCTCCGTGGTCTAGTGGTAGAGCGTCCGCCCGGAGAGCGGAAGGTCCGGGGTTCGATCCCCGGCCGCGTCATACCAAAAGACGTTAAAAGATGGTACTTGTTGTTACCCTGTCTGGCAATCGGCATTAAAGGGCTAAAACAAGGACTGGTCGGCTCGGAGTCAGTATACTGTGTCTGAGTGGGGTATTCATGTTAAACTGCGGCATGGTATCTCAGTGGGCTAGCACTATAAATCGGCATCAGCCCGGACTAGTACAAGCAGCCACACACACACACACACACACACACACACACACACACACGTGCATGCACGTCGCTATATAAGTGCAATAATCTTGGACGCGACGTTAAACCCAATTTCACCTCACCTTGCACGGGGTGACAAATCAGTAAAATATTTAACCCAAAGCTTATGAGCACGCACGGTAATGCGTATTAGGCGAAAATCCCAGTCGAATTTACTTGTACAAGCTTGGAACACGGATATGACTCAAGAGTTCTTACATTGGATGACAAGACAAATTCAGTGGTATATCCGTGTGACTAGAGGGTTGTGGGTGGCACCCTCAAAGGCAGAAGCCAATAAAAACCCACCACGTCACAACAGGCAGCATGGCCTCGTGAATAGCCCTCTCCCAGCTTTATAAGGAATATTTCTTCTGTAAACCTACAAGCGACCCTCAACTAGTCAGCTGTCCGACTTACAACTGCTGTGAACAAGCGTTTGTGTTGTCAAGATGTCAGTACGGAAGGGAATTGACGGCGGCAAAGGTATGATCAGCACAACTATTGAAGGCTTCCCAACATGACATGGTGTTTTACAAAAGAGGATAATACGCCAGGATAATATGCAGGAATTATCATAACGTTCATGTATCCCAAGGTGTCACGCTGGTTTCCGAGGTCCTGGAAACCCGTCAGGGATTGCGCCAACCGCAAGTATACAAATTTTCAAAATTAATCCTCTAATTCTCCACATAACCTTTAATATATTACAATCTGTGTGGGTGGCCCTTCAACGAATGTTGTGAGTATATTAGCAAAACATCTTCAGAGCGTTAGTGTCATCAATATTAGAAACCTAAAAGGGTTTACAGCAAACGTTGTGAGACATTTTTGCAATTGTACATTACAACGTTGTCATCAATCTCAAAAGCAATTTTTCCTTGTCAGTTGCGAGACGTTCAAATATGTCAATTGAAACTGAGTCTCTTTGAATAGGTTTCAAAGACATGCCCTAACCCTGGCGACAACGCTTGATGAAAACACATGTCATATTTCTATCGAACCTCAGTAAATAACATATCCAAAAATACCACACTTTATGTGGATTTCAAGGCCGTATTTAACTTTTTTTGACAGGAGGGGGGGGGGGGGGGGGGGGGGGGGGGCAAATATTTGTACAAGTATCACTTGTCCCCAACTTGATTCAAATAAAACTGTTTTCTATAAAAAATCTAGGGGGCAATTGCCCTCCCTGCCCCCCGGCTGCCTACGGCACTGGATTTATGATGATTTTGAGCCCGTGTGTCTTATGAGGCGACACGATTGGATCGGGTCGTTAAGTCTCTGGGACTTGGCTGTTTGTTGGGACATTGCTATTTTTTCAGCTACTGATATGTCTGGCAGACTCAAACCGACGTGAGGTAGTTAATTGTGACTTAAATATATGACGTCAACTCCAGTGAATAACCAGTTTCGATTATCTGCCGAAACAGATTCCACTTGTCATAAAAAACAAAATAACGGTGAAAATAATATGAATGGATCACTGAAAATCAGTGATGACACCAGGTGTTCGCAAAAAGGTATACATTATGCATGTGTGTTAACACTATCTACATCATGATCAATCAATAATGGCCCTAGAAAAGGCTTTAGTTTTATACCAACATTTGGTTTGATGCGGTAAAGTTTTCTCATTGAGGTTTTTGGTAAACAGAACATTGGGCATAGTTGATGTAAACTTGAGTGATGATGTCTCTAAGTGTGATGCTGTCTCTCTGGATGATGTGTATGAACAAAGCCCCGTGATGCCCTGAACAAAGCACCGTGACGCCCTGAACAAAGCACCGTGATGCCCTGAACAAAACGATGTGATGCCTTGAACAAAAGCCCCGTGACTCCCTGAATAAAGCACCGTTACGCTCTGAACAAAGTGATGTGATGCCCTGAACAAAGCCCCGTGACTCCCTGAACAAAGCCCCGTGACTCCCTGAATAAAGCACCGTGACGCTCTGAACAAAGTGATGTGATGCCTTGAACAAAGCCCCGTGACTCCCTGAACAAAGCCCCGTGACACTCTGAACAAAGTGATGTGATGCCTTGAACAAAGCCCCGTGACGCCCTGAACAAAGCCCCGTGACGCCCTGAATAAAGCCCCGTGACTCCCTGAACAAAGTGATATGATGCCCTGAACAAAGCCCCGTGACTCTCTGAATAAAGCCCCGTGACTCCCTGAATAAAGCAACGTGACTCCCTGAACAAAGTGATGTGATGCCCTGAACAAAGCCCCGTGACGCCCTGAACAAAGCCCCGTAACTCCCTGAACAAAGCCCCGTGACTCCCTGAACAAAGCCTCGTGACTCCCTGAATAAAGCCTCGTGACTCCCTGAACAAAGCCTCGTGACTCCCTGAACAAAGCCCCGTGACTCCCTGAATAAAGCCCCATGACTCCCTGAACAAAGCCCCGTGACTCCCTGAAAAAAGCCCCGTGACTCCCTGAACAAAGCCCCGTGACTCCCTGAATAAAGCCCCATGACTCCCTGAACAAAGCCCCGTGACTCCCTGAAAAAGCCCCGTGACTCCCTGAACAAAGCCCCGTGACTCCCTGGATAAAGCCCCGTGACTCCCTGAACAAAGCCCTGTGACTCCCTGAATAAAGCCCCATGACTCCCTGAACAAAGCCCTGTGACTCCCTGAAAAAGCCCCGTGACTCCCTGAACAAAGCCCCGTGACTCCCTGAACAAAACCCCGTGACTCCCTGAACAAAGCCCTGTGACTCCCTGAATAAAGCCCCGTGACTCCCTGAACAAAGCCCCGCGACGCTCTGAACAAAGTGATCTGATGACCTGAACAAAGCAACGTGATTCCCTGAACTAAGAACCATGATGCCCTGAAAAATGCACTGTGATGCCCTGAACAAAGCATCGGGACACCCTGAACAATGCACCGTGATGCCCTGAACAAAGCATCATGATGCCCTAAACAATGCACCGTGATGCCCTGAACAAAGCATCGGGACACCCTGAACAATGCACCGTGATGCCCTGAACAAAGCACCGTGACACCCCAAACAAAGCGACATGATGTCCTTAACAAAGCAATTTGATGCCCTGAACAAAGCCCTGTGATGCCCTGAACAAAGCCCCGTGTTGCCCTGAACAAACCACTGTTATGCCCTGAAGAAAGCACCGTGACACCCCAAACAAAGCGACGTGATGCCCTTAACAAAGCAATTTGATGCCCTGAACAAAGCCCTGTGATGCCCTGAACAAAGCAATTTGACGCCCTGAACAAAGCACCGTGACGCCCCGAACAAGGCACCGTGACGCCCTGAAAAAAGCACCGCGATGCCCTGAACAAAGCATTGTGAAGCACTGTGACGCCCTGAACAAAGCCCCGTGATGCCCTGAACAAACCACTGTTATGCCCTGAACAAAGCACCGTGGCACCCCAATAAAAGCGACGTGATGCCCTTAGCAAAGCAATTTGATGCCCTGATTAAAGCCCTGTGATGCCCTGAACAAAGCAATTTGACGCCCTGAACAAAGCACCGTGACGCCCCGAACAGTGCACCGTGACGCCCTGAAAAAAGCACCGCGATGCCCTGAACAAAGCATTGTGAAACGATGTGATGCCCTGAACAAAACACTGTGATGCCCTTAACCAAGCGGTATTCTGTGTTGGGAGTATTCATCGTGAGTAAACCAATCTTGCCGTCAAGAGAAGTCAATATGAAACTTAATATAGACTCCATGATACCACTGAATATCTTGCATGGAGTCGCGATATGGCTGCCGATGCGATGTAAAATTTTAACTCACTCACTCACGCTTGCATGTTCCTCATGCCACGTAACGTATATTCAGCCCGAAAGAAAGTCGAGCGTTGTAAGTAAACGTTGCTGTAGAACTTGATACCTGGTACCATTGTGGTTTGGTGATTACCCTACTCCGAGAGATACAATGTCGCATCTCCTACACAAAGCGTACGTGTTTGGCTTTATGATTTACCTTTGACACCAAGGCATTCCCACTTACCCAGCTTATGTAGCAAAATATAGGAGACACGTTCTGTTTTGGGGGGAGTGTCGACCCTTCTTATCTGTTTTTACTTTTGTACGAAACAATATAAGTTGGGTTAATGGGAAGATTCATTCCCCAGCACGCCGGTACTTGCGATAGGCGCCATACTGTGTCCTTGTACGTCAATGCTAACAATAGATTCGACACTGTAATATATAGACAGAAACTTTGGAAACCGAGTTTGTGTAGATCATGCTGCATGGAGCATCTCCATGGCGCAGTTCATACGTTCACTTCAGGGATTTGTAAAATTCAAAAAGCAATAATTATGCAAAGAGGTCGAAAATAGCATGTGAGTAAAAATACATTGCGGGTATACATACTAGCAAGTAAGGCTGTAATTGAAGACCGCCTCCGTGGTCTAGTGGTAGAGCGTCCGCCCGGAGAGCGGAAGGTTTCGGGGTTCGGCCACGTCATACCAAAAGGCGTTAAAAGACGGTACTTGTTGTTACTCTGTCTGGTGCTCGGCATTAAGAGGCTTAAACAAGGACTGGTCGGCTAGGAGTCAGTATACTGTGTCTGAGTGGGGTATTCATGTTAAACTGCGGCATGGTATCTCAGTGAGCTAGCACTATAAATCGGCATCAGTCCGGCCTAGTACAAGCAGCCACACACACACGTGCATGCAAGTCGCTATATAAGTGCAATAATCTTGGACGCGACGTTAAACCCAATTTCACCTCACCTCACCTGTAATTGAAACACTTGAATACATTCCACTATATGCTGTTAAAGAACATGTTGATAACAACATACGAGGGGTGTTCATTAAAGAGATCCCCTGACCCACTTCCGATGGACCTAGTGGAATGAAACTTGGCATAGGTATTAGTCTTTCTCCACATAGGAACCATCAAGAGTTACACACTTCTCCCATCGTTTTATGCAACTATGGAGACCTCGCTTGTAAAAGCCCTCATTTTGCGTCTCAAACCAGGACTTGACTTCCGAAATCAGTGTTTCATCATCTGTGAAACGTTTTCCCTTCAAAAATGACTTCATGGTTGGAAAGAGGTGGAAGTCAGATGGTGCAAGGTCAGGAGAGTAAGGAGGATGTGGAAGGATTTCATAGCCACAGGACCGCGCTTCTGTATGGGCAACATGAGAGTTGTGTACTGGAGCATTGTCTTGCAGGAGACGGACACCCTTGGTCAGCATGCCACGCCTCTTAAGCTTGATAGCGTCCCGCAATTTCCGCAGCAGTGAAGCATAATAAGCTCCTGTAATTGTGGTACCCTTTGCCAAGAAATCCATCATCACTACTCCATGCTGGTCCCAAAACACCGTGAGCATGACCTTGCCTGCAGAGGGTTGGACACGTGCCTTCTTTGGGGGTGGTGACTCCACATGCTTCCATTGCATCGACTGAATTTTAGTCTCAGGATCACAGTGATGGACCCATGTTTCATCCTGTGTGATAAGTCTGTCAAAAAGGTTTGCCTGGGTTTTTTTTGCACATGTCCA